TATCTCGTCAGGAAAATGTTTTTGTTTTACCACAATGTCTATCTCGTCAGGAGAAAGTATCTGTATTACCACAGTGGCTATCTCGTCAGGAGAAAGTATATGTATTACAACAGTGGGTATTTCCTCAGTAGAAGACATTGGTATTACCGCAGTGGCTATCTCGTCAGGAGAAGACATTAGTATTACTAAAGTGACTATCTCGTCAGAAAAATATATCTCTATTACCACAGTGGCTATCTCGCCAGGAGAAAGTATTTGTATTACCACAGTGGCCATCTCGTCAGGAGAAAGTATTTGTATTACCACAGTGGCTATCGCGTCAGGAGAAGGCATCTGTATTACAACAGTGTCTATCTCGTCAGGAGAAGGCATCAGTATTACCACAGTGGCTATCTCCTCAGGAGATGGCATCAGTATTACCACAGTGGCTATCTCCTCAGGAGATGGCATCAGTATTACCACAGTGGCTATCTCGTCAGGAGAAGATCTCTGTATTACCACATTGGCTATCTCGTCAGGAGAATATCTCTGTATTACCACAGTGGCTATCTCGTCAGGGGAAGGCATCAGTATTACCACAGTGGCTATCTCGTCAGGGGAAGGCATCAGTATTACCACAGTGGCTATCTCGTCAGGAGAAGGCATATGTATTACCACAGTGGCTATCTTGTCAGGAGAAGATCTCTGTATTACCACATTGGCTATCTCGTCAGGAGAAGATCTCTGTATTACCACATTGGCTATCTCGTCAGGAGAAGATCTCTGTGTTTGTTGTGGTGTACACGCACTTCCTGAAGCTGACTTTTGTTGTGGTGTACACGCTGTTCCGGTAGCTGGCTTTTGTTGTGGCGTACACGCACTTCCTGAAGCTGACTTTTGTTGTGGTGTACACGCTGTTCCTGTAGCTGACTTTTATTGTGGTGTACACGCACTTCCTGTAGCTGACTTTTGTTGTGGGGTACACGCTGTTCCTGTAGCTGACTTTTATTGTGGTGTACACGCACTTCCTGTAGCTTACTTTTGTTGTGGTGTACACACTGTTCCGGTAGCTGACGTTTGTTGTGGTGTACACGCACTTCCTGAAGCTGATTTTTGTTGTGGTGAACACGCTGTTCCGGTAGCTGACTTTTTGACTTTTGTTGTGGTGTACACGCACTTCCTGTAGCTTACTTTTGTTGTGGTGTACACGCTGTTCCGGTAGCTTACTTTTGTTGTGGTGTACACGCACTTCCTGTAGCTGACTTTTGTTGTGGTGTACACACACTTCCTGTAGCTGACCTTTGTTTTGATGGAACTCTCTTCCTTGTTTTGTTTGTTTTGTTTTTATATTCATTCACACCCTATTGTTGTCTATTGTTGTGGTGGCCATTCGCTTCCTGTAGTTTTCTGTTCTGTTGATGCTCCTCACTTCCTGCTGTTGTCTGCTTTTTATGGCGAATCACTTCCGGTTGTTTTATTTTGTTTTGATGTTATCACTTCCGTTTGTTGTGATATCTTTCTGTATTGACGTTATGATTTTACTTATCAATTTATTGATTAAAGTAGATAGTGGCTATATCGTCAGGAGATTCAGTGTATCTCATCTGGGGAAGGTCTCTAAATTACCGTTGTGGCTATGTCTTGTCATGAAAATATCTCTGTATTGCATGTATCAAGTTGGCTATCTCGTTAGGAACTGCAGTATATCTCATCATGAATTCGTCTATTAATTATTACATTAGTGTCTATCTCGTCAGGAAAATACCACAGTGTCTACCTCGTCAGGAGAAAGTATCTGTATTATCACAGTGGCTATCTCGTCAGGAGAGAGTATCTGTATTACCACAGTGGCTATTTCGTCAGGGGAAGTATCTGTATTATCACAGTTGCTATTTCGTCAGGAGAAAGTATCTGTATTACCACAGTGGCTATCTCGTCAGGAGAAAGTATCTGTATTACCCCAGTGGCTATCTCGTCAGGAGAAAGTATCTGTATTACCCCAGTGGCTATCTCGTCAGGAGAAAGCATCAGTATTACCACAGTGGCTATCTCGGCAGGAGAAGGCATCTGTATTACCCCAGTGGCTATCTCGTCAGGAGAACGCATCTGTATTACCACACTGGCTATCTCGTCAGGAGAAGGCATCTTTATTACCGCAGTATCTATTTTGTCAGGAGAAGGCATCAGTATTACCACAGTGGCAATTTCGTAAGGAACTGCAGTGCATCTCATCATAAATTTGTCTATGTATTACATTAGTGTCTATCTCGTCAGGAGAAAGTATCTGTATTACCCCAGTGGCTATCTCGTCAGGAGAAGGCATCTGTATTACCCCAGTGGCTATCTCGTCAGGAGAAAGTATTTGTATTACCACAGTGGCTATCTCGTCAGTTGAACGTTTCTGTATTACCACAGTGGCTATCTCGTCACGAGAAGGCATCTGTATTACCGCAGTATCTATTTTGTCAGGAGCAGGCATCAGTATTACCACAGTGGCTATCTCGGCAGGAGAAGGCATCTGTATTACCACAGTATCTATTTTGTCAGGAGAAGGCATCAGCATTACCACAGAGGCTATCTCGTCAGGAGCAGGCATCTGTATTACCGCAGTATCTATTTCGTCAGGAGAAGGCATCAGTATTACCACAGTGGCAATTTCGTAAGGAACTGCAGTGTATCTCATCATAAATTTGTCTATGTATTACATTAGTGTCTATCTCGTCAGGAGAAAGTATCTGTATTACCACAGTGGCTATCTCGTCAGGAGAAGGCATCAGTATTACCACAGTGGCTATCTCGTCAGAAGAAGGCATCAGTATTTCCACAGTGGTTATCTCGTCAGGAGAAGGCATCAGTATTACCACAGTGGCTATCTCGTCAGGAGAAGGCATCTGTATTACCACAGTGGCTATCTCGTCAACATAATGCATCTGCATTACCACAGTATCTATCTCGTCAGGAGAAGGTGTCTGTATTACCACAGTGGCTATCTTGTCAGGAGAAGATCTCTGTATTACCACAGTGGCTATCTCTCGTCTGGAGAAGATATCTGTATTACCACAGTGGCTATCTCGTCAGGAGAAGATCTCTGTATTACCACAGTGGCTATCTCTCGCCAGGAGAAGATCTCTGTATTACCACAGTGGCTATCTCGTCAGGAGAAAGTATCTGTATTACCACAGTATCTATCTCGTCAGGAGAAGATCTCTGTATTACCACAGTGGCTATCTCTCGCCAGGAGAAGGCATCAGTATTACCACAATGGCTATCTCGTCAAGATAATGCATCTGCATTACCACAGTGGCTATCTCGTCAGGAGAAGGCATCAGTATTATCACAATGGCTATCTCGTCAAGATAATGCATCTGCATTACCACAATGGCTATCTCGTCAAGATAATGCATCTGCATTACCACAGTGGTTATCTCGTCAGGAGAAGGTATCTGTATTACCACAGTGACTTTCTCGTCAGGAGAAGGTATCTGTATTACCACAGTGGCTTTTTCGTCAGGAGAAGGTATCTGCATTACCACAGTATCTATCTCGTCAGAAGCAGACATCATTATTACTACAGTGACTATCTCGTCAGAAAATATCTCTGTATTACCACTGTAGCTATCTCGTCAGGAGAAGGAATATGTATTACCACAGTGTCTGTCTCGTCAGTTGAACGTTTCTGTATTACCACAGTGGCTATCACGTCAGTTAAACGTTTCTGCACTCTCGTCAGGAGTCTGTATGACGATAGTGGTTATCTTGACAGGGAAACGTGATTGGGTTATATATAAGAACAAAGGCGTCGGTAATGAGGAAGAAGACCAGGGCGATGTTATTGCTTCTTTGTTCCAATCGATTCACCATAAACAGGTTATATAATGTTGGTGTCACTGTGAACAGACAGGCCGACGGGGACATGGGGCCAACGCCTATAAGGGAAAGATGGCTAATAAACGTGTCTATCGCAATTGTTACTGTGTTTTTATATCATGCACTGTACTTCGATAATGTACTAAATACATTTGTAATTACTTAGGAGGAAGAGCTTTCGTTATAGTATAAAAATGATACTGTTTAAGGTACAGAAACACGTGTGATTACCTAATTACTGTTTAAGGAACAGAAACACGTGTGCTTACCTAATTACTGTTTATGTTACATAGACATGTGTAAAAACCTAACTACTGTTTAAGGTACAGAAACACGTGTACTTACCTAATTACTGTTTAAGGTTCAGAAACACGTGTGCTTACCTAATTACTGTTTATGTTACATAGACACGTGTAAAAACCTAACTGCTGTTTAAGGTACATAAACACGTATAATTAACTCATTACTGTTAATGGTACAGAAACACGTGTAATTGCCTAACTATTGTTTAAGGTACAGAAACACGAGTAATTAACTAACCACTGTTTAAGGTACAGAAACACGTGTAATTGCCTAACTATTGTTTAAGGTACAGAAACACGCGTAATTAACTAACTANCGAGTAATTAACTAGCCACTGTTTAAGGTACAGAAACACGTGTAATAACCTAACTACTGTTTATGTTACAGAAATACGTGTAATTACCTAATTTCTGTTTATGTTACACGAACGCATGCAATTACTTCATTGCTGTTAATGGTTTACAGAAAGGCCTCGATAATGTTTTGTTAACTTTTGTCCAATCCCATTGTAGTTGATGGCAATACAATATGTTTAAATACACTATTATTTACAGGAGCACGCGCTGCTAACAAACAACTGTGTGTTACAGTTTTATATGCATTTTCCTGGTGATGGTTGCTACGATCACTCATTATAACAACTAATTAATGGTAACTCTGATATCGTCCTGTTCGGTAACCTCGGACACTGGTCGGCTAATCAGTGGTATATCTGTGTTATGTCTGGGATTGCTTGTCTGATTTTATAAATACGCAATTTCAACAAGAAAGGTCAACCCTGATGGGATATACTTTCATATCGAACGGTGCACGTGACCGCTATCTCCAGATGGTGAATTGTGACCGATAGTGTATAGGGGTCGACACCTGGTCCAAGGCCGGTCGGTACCGCGAGGCCGGGTGGACTGGGGTATATATATACCCGGGCGCGGATAGAACACCGGTACCACACACATCTCGTCACACCTAACTCTTCAACGTATCGGACATGGCCAGCTCTCTTGTCTTCCTTGTGGTGGTGGCCATTGGTGTCACTTCCGGTCAAAGAATTAGTTGGGGCAAATGTCCAGATGTTCCGTTGAAGAGAAATTTTCAAATGAGCAAAGTAAGTACACCGTCAATTTTTCAGTAAATATTTAACAGAATTGTACATGTCAGTTTTAATTGTAAACTCGTCAGGAAATCTCTGTTTTCACAGGGACCTGAACATTTGTTACAGCTATATTTTGATATATCAAAAGCCAAAATTCTACTTGATGTACGAGAAAAAATGCTTATTATCGTTGGAAAGATGAATAATTTTAGCCGTGTGCTGAATCATGCAGGTCGTGTTGATTGGCTGGTTATTTTAAGGAATAAAATGGCTGCGCTTCCAACCCATTAAAGCACGGGTTTCAGCACGTGGCTGACGTCAACCTCGTGAATATGCAAAAAGTGGCTCTATGACTACGAAAAACTTTGAAACTCGGAAATGGCGTGAGAATTTGGAGGAAACGGAGATCATGTCCGCAGTAGGGGAATCCATTGTACGTGCATATAGAAGTTTTTTAAAAGAATAAGTATCCATCTTTCAAACGGTAGTGATAGGCGACAATAAAGCGATAAAATATCTATACATGTAATAAATAATTATTTTAATATACACCGTAATGTATTGCTCCTGTAGTTGCTCCTGTAGTTACTAAATATTTAAACATTATCATTACAGTACACAGGGATCTGGTATGAGCACGAGAGTTACCCCGCCCCCTGGTATAGCTCTTCTGTGTCCTGTGGACACTCCTCATTCACAATCACTGACGACGGGTCCATGCAGGTGACCAGCGGGGGCGTCGACGGGTAAGTATTCTTGACCGGATTGTGTTCACAATGAGCGTTCGACAGTCAATAGTGGTGATGGGCTATACTGGGGAGGTAGTGTCGACTACAGGGGTTACAAGTCACTTCTG